TTGGCTTACAAGTTGAAGGTGGAAATAAGACACACATTCATTTCTTTTAAAAACATCATGCTAAGTCCAGAGGCTGGGACCCTTCCCAGGAGAGGCCTGAATGCCCTGCTCTCCTACTGCCAAGTCTTTCTTTTCTCTTTCTTGTGGCCTTTCTTGATCCAGGTCTGCTCTAACTGGAAAGCCAGGTCCCCAGAGATGAGCCCTGTGGTACTGAGGGGGTGGGAGTCATGGGAAATGTCCCCCATCACCAAAACCAGGGGCCTCTCCACACACACTGGCTAATTTTGAAGGAGCAGGGATGATGTCTGACTCGCAAGACTTTAAAGTATTCAAGATTCTGTATTTTCCACAACCTGAGTGAGGCATGAGCATACGAAGCACAGTGAAAAGACAGTTCATTCATTTATTCATTCATTCATTCATTCATTCATTCATTCATTCAAAAGACTTTCACATGTGGCAAGATGGCTGAATAAGAACAGCTCTGGTCTGCAGCTCCCAGAGAGATCAATGCAGAAGGTGGATGATTTCTGCATTTCCAACTGAGGTACCAGCTCATCTCACTGGGACTAGTTAGACAGTGGGTGCAGCCCATAGAGGGCAAGTTGAAGCAGGGTGGGGCATTGCTTCACCCAGGAAGTGCAAGGGGTCGAGGAACTCCCTTCCCTAGCCAAGAGAAGCCTTGAGAAACTGTCTCATAAGGAACCATGCATTCTAGCCCGGATACTACGCTTTTCCCATGGTCTTCACAATGTGCAGACCAGGAGATTCCCTCGGGTGCCTATACCACCAAAGCCCTGGGTTTAAAGCACAAAACTGGGTGGCCATTTGGGCAGACACTGAGCTAGCTGCAGGAGTTTTCTTCATACCCCAGTGGTGCTTCACATGCCAACAAAACAGAACCGTTCACTCCCCTGGAAAGGGGGTTGAAGACAGGGAGCCAAGTGTTCTAGCTCAGTGAATCCCATCCCCATGGAGTTCAGCAAGCTAAGATCCACTGGCTTAAAAATCTTGCTGCCAGCACAGCAGTCTGAAGTCGAAATGTGACACTAGAGCTTGGTGGGGGAGGGGCGTCCATCATTACTGAGGCTTGAGTAGGCGGTTTTCCCCCTCACAGTGTAAACAAAGCCTCTGGGAAGTTTGAACTTTACAGAGCGCACTAAAGCTTGGTAAAGCCACTGTGGCCAGACTACCTCTCTAGATTCCTCCTCTCTGGGCAGGGCATCTCTGAAAGAAAGGCAGCAGCCCCAGTCAGGGGCTTACAGATAAAACTCCCATCTCCCTGAGACAGAGCACCTGGGGGAAGGGGCAGCTGTGGGCACAGCTTCAGCAGACTTAAACGTTCCTGCCTGCCGGCTCTGAAGACAGACACAGATCTCCCAGCACCGTGCTCAAGCTCTGCTAAGGGACAGACTGCCTCCTCAAGTGATTCCCTAACCCTCATTCCTCCTGACTGGGAGACACCTCCCAGCAAGGGTTGACAGATACCTCATACAAAAGAGCTCTGGCTCACATCTGGTGGGCGCTCCTCTGGGACGAAGCTTCCAGAGGAAGAAACAGGCAGAAATCTTTGCTGTTCTGCAGCCTCTGCTGGTGATACCCAGGCAAACAAGGTCTGGAGTGAACCTCCAGCGAACTCCAGCAGACTTGCAGCAGAGGGGCCTGAGTGTTAGAAGGAAAACTAACAAACATAAAGGAATAGCATCAACATCAACAAAAAGGACATCTACACAGAAATCCCATCAGAAAGTCACCAGTATCAAAGACCAAAGGTAGATAAATCCACAACGATGAGGAAAAACCAGAGCAAGAAGGCTGAAAATTCCAAAAACCAGTGCAAAAAGGCGAAAATTCCAAAAACCAGGACGCCTCTTCTCTGCCAAGGGATCACAAGTCCTTGCCAGCAGGGGAACAAAACTAGATGGAGAATTAGAATTACTTTGATGAACTGACAGAAGTAGGCTTCAGAAGGTGAGTAATAACAAACTTCTCTGAGCTAAAGGAGCAATGTTCTAACCCAATGCAAGGAAGCTAAGAACCTTGAAAAAAGGTGAGAGGAGTTGTTAACTTGAATAACCAGTTTAGAGAAGAACATAAATGACCTGATGGCGCTGAAAAACACAGCACAAGAACTTCATGAAGCATATACAAGTATCAATAGCCAAATCCATCAAGCAGAAGAAAGGACATCAGAGATTGAAAATCAACTTAATGAAATAAATCATGAAGACAAGATCAGAGAAAAAAGTATGAAAAGGAACAAACAAAGCCTCCAAGAAATATGGGACTATGTGAAAAGACCAAACCTACGCTTGATTGGTGTACCTGAAATTGATGGGGAGAATGAATCCAAGTTGGAAAACACTCTTCAGGGTATTATCCAGGAAAATTTCCCCAACCCAGCACAACAGGCCAACATTCAAATTCAGTAAATTCAGAACACCACAAAGAAACTCCTTGAGAAGAACAACCCCAAGACACATAATCGTCAGATTCACCAAGGTTGAAATGAAGGAAAAAATATAAAGGGCAGCCAGAGAGAAAGGTCAGGTTACCCACAAAGGGAAGTCCATCAGACCAACAGTGGATCTCTCTGCAGAAACCCTACAATCCAGAAGAGAGTGGGGGCCAATATTCAACATTCTTAATGACAATAATTTTCATCCCAGAGTTTCATGTCCAGTCAAACTAAGCTTCATAAGTGAAGAAGAAATAAAATCCTTCATAGACAAGCAAATGCTGAGAGATTTTTGTCACCACCAGGCCTGCCTTACAAAAGCTCCTGAAGGAAGCACTAAATATGGAAACGAAAAACCGGTACCAGTTACTGCAAAAATATATCCAATTGTAAAGACCATTGGCACTATGAAGAAACTGCATCAACTAATGGGCAAAATAACCAGCTAGCATCATAATGACAGGATCAAATTCACACATAACAATATTAACTTTAAATGTAAATGGGCTAAATGCCTCAATTAAAAGACACAGACTGGCAAATTAGATACAGTCAAGACCCGCTGGTGAACTGTATTCAGGAGACCCATCTCATGTGCAAAGACAAACATAGGCCCAAAATAAAGGGATGGAGGAATATTTACTGACCAAATGGAAAGCAAAAAAAACCCAAAAAACTGGGGTTGCAATCCTACTCTCTGATATAACAGACTTTAAACCAACAAAGATCAAAAAAGACACAGAAGAGCATTACATAATGGTAAAGGAAAAATGCAACAAAAAGACTTAACTATCCTAAATATATGTGCACCCAATACAAGAGTACCCAGATTCATAAAGCAAGTTCTTAGAGACCTACAAAGAGACTTAGACTCCCACACAATAATAGTGGGAGACTTTACACTGTCATCTCGCTTGTAAACAAATTTAAACAAATTTATAAGAAAAAAAAAACCCTATCAAAAAGTGGGGAAAGGATATGAACAGACACTTCTCAAAAGAAGACATTTATCTGGCCAACAAACATATGAAAAAAACTCATCATCACTGGTAGTTAGAGAAATGCAAATCAAAACCACAATGAGATACCATATCAAGCCAGTTAGAATGGCAAAAATTAAAAAGTCAGAAAACAATAGATGCTGGAGAGGATGTGGAGAAATAGGAACACATTTACACAGTTGGTGGGATTGTCTTCCACCATTGTGGAAGACAGTGTAGCCATTCCTCAATGATCTAAAACCAGAAATACTACTTGACCCAGCAATCCCACCACTGGGTATATACCCAAAGGATTATAAATCACTCTACTATAAAGGCACATGCGCACGTATGTTTATTGTGGCACTATTCACAATGGCAAAGACTTGGGAACCAACCCAAATGCCCATCAATGATAGACTGGATAAAGAAAATGTGGCACATATACACCATGGAATACTATGCAGCCATAAAAAAGGATGAGTTCATGTCCTTTGCAGGGACATGAATGAAGCTGGAAACAATCATTCTCAGCAAACTAACACAGGAACAGAAAACCAAACACCTCATGTTCTCACTCATAAGTGGGAGTTGAACAATGAGAACACACAGACATAGGGAGGGGAACATCACACACCAGGGTCTGTCAGGGCATAGGGTTCTACGGGAGGGATGGCATTAGGAGAAATACCTAATATAGGTGATGGGTTGATGGGTGCAGCAAACCACCATGGCACCTGTATATCTATGTAACAGACCTGCACATTCTGCACATGTATCCCAGAACTTAAAGTATAATAATTAAAAAATAAAAAGACTTTCACAGCCTGCTCCTGGGTGGGAGGCATGTTGTTGTGCACTGAGGGCTACAGAGACTGGGGTTTGGTTTGCTAGAAGGTTCTAGGTGAGCCCCAGTGATATGATACATGAAATATAATACAAAAGTTGATCTGTGTAAACCCACAAGAGAAACACAGAATGTGATAAAAGCACAGAGGAGGGAGACAAGATAAGCTGGGAGGTCTGTGTCAGGAAAGGCTTCTAGGCAACATTTGAGCCAGGCCTTGAAGAATTGATTGTATTTGGACACAAGAAATGAGGCAGAAGCGAAGATTACAATTCAGCAAAGAAATGAGAGGAAGTTTAGGATAGGATTACAATATCAGAAAATCTGACTTAAAGACTTAATGATAAGGGGCAGCTTAATAGCTCTGCACAGTTTACAAAGCATTTTACTATCTATTATTTTATCTGATTCATGCAAAATATGAACTTAAGTCTCAAGACTCTTATCATATTTTATTTTTAGGAAACCTGGACTGAAGGAGCAAACGTGAAAATAGTTTAAGCATTGCAAAATCCTACATGAAGTGAGATGCTACTATTTATTACTAATGATTACAAAGTATTAGAGTAGACAGTATAGTATAACTAAATCCAATGTACATATTGTTTTATTAATGCTGCATCCCCTAGCCGAGCTTGAATAACAATAACATAAGAGCATTAACAATGCCTGGTTCTAACACTGGATTTCATGACTTTCTGTGATTACTTTTTAGAAAGATGGAGATACAATGAAGAGACATTCACGTGGATACTCACATATGCAGGGAAAGTGCCCACACATGTTTGGACTGGAGACAAACTACAAGACTGGATGTCCCTGAGGAGGGAGACTGGGACTTCTGGCCTATCCAAAGATGGCATGACTCCCCTACACGTTCTCTTTTAGAACTTTGCTCCACCTTCATCAGGAAATGGCATCTAATTCCCTTTCCCTTAAATCCAGGAAGGGCTTGTGACTCTCCTGGAACTGACAGAATACAGCAGAAATGAGGCAGTGTGACTTACGAGGCTAGGTCCTGAAAGGCAATGCAGCTTCTGCCTTGTGAACTATTATAGAACACACCCATGGGGCTCTGAGCCACTTAGTGAGAAGTCTGCGGCTGCCATGCCACGAGGAAGCCCAAGCTACACAGAGGCATCATTTGCAGTTGTTGCAGCTAACTGACGGCCCAACTAACAGCAGTACTGACTGCCAGATCAGCGAATGAAGACACGCTGATGGCTCCTGCCCTGGCCATCGGGTCATCCCAACCTCTAAGCCTTCCTATCTGAAGCTGCACTTTGTGTAGCAGAAACAAACACTCCCTATTGTTCCTGTTCGGGATTCATGACTCTCACAATCTGTGAGTAAAAAAAAAAAAAATGGTTGTTTTAAATTACTAAGTTTTAGGATAATTTGTCACACAACAATAGTAAGTAGTATTTCAACTTGATCTATAATGGCTTATTTCTCTGCCAAAAAATCTAAAGAAAATATAACAAAATGCTAACATTTTTTCATTTGGAGAGGTGGGTACATATGTTGTATGTGTTAGACTTTTATTTGAAAGCTTTCTTACTTTTAATTGAAAAAGTTTATGTGATCTAACACGAAATACAAATTTTTGAAACTTCCAGTCAATTTAAAAGTGCTAATGTTAAAAAATAATTCTAAAAGACCCACAAATAAAGATATTTACATTTACTTTGTATATTTAAGGATTAAAAAAATGGAGATGAAAATACAGAACTATGAAGTGGGCAATAAAGATCACAAGCAGGCATCACTGGAATTGCTGTAGTAATGGTTTACACAGTAGCAAATTCTGGTATTGTTCCCCATGACTTACAAATGAGTTAAACATTTTCATAATAGTCTGGAAAATGTTAGCATGCTACGGCAGCATTATTTGCATGATATCCATTTTGGAATAACCATGGATTTTGGCCTGATAAAAACAGGCATCCAGGAATAATTTGTCAATACACTATGTCAGGCTTTGAAGTTTGGGTTGTTTACAGATGGAGCATTACTGAAAAAATAAAGAACAATGGCAAAATGCAATCATTGATATGAAAATCCCCTGAAAGTATTTACTGTTCAAGTAGGCACTTGGAAATTGTGGCATTGGAGATAATGAAATACATGATAGTTGACCTAAGATTACTTCAACATTTCACTAAATAGAATGCTTTCTACAGACCAGCTCCAGATTTCAGATTCATGACTCCTGGAAGTATGGGTGAATCAGAAGCCCGAAGCACGGTCAGTTGTGTCCATCTGTGAAATGTGTTTGGCTTCATCAGAGCTTGGACAGAATATGCAAGCAGTGAAAGAAGAGACGTACCGGGAAGCACAAAATGAGCAGAACGGTGAAATATGAACCAGTGACTATGGCAGCTACCTGCGCCGGCCACAGGGGTCCCTACAGAGTTGGAATCCTATTCCTGCCTTTCGCACAGCTGACGCTCTGGTGTGATACACAAGACCAAGTGTGAGGAGGTGAGTGAACGGCAACCTCAAGGTCATCGGAGATACTGGGAAGCGCAGATTCTGTGGTGTGGCGGGGATGATGGAGACCACACTAGCTTGAGGGATGAGTGGAAGGTAAGAATGTAGAAATGATGACTGTGTCTATGACAGACAATTACAGGTGCTCAGCTGCAGAGGAACACAGGGATAAGGGACACTGCTCTAAACAGCAGGTGAACTTAAGCAGGTTTAAGTGTGGATGAACAAAGAACACCAGTGAAGGAGAGACTGAAGACAGGCATCAAAGGTGTGGTGGGCAGGTGGAAATCACCTGAGAAGCCAGGAGGGGTGGGGACCAGAGCACAGGTGAAAAATAAGCTTTCAACAAGGGGTGGTATTATAGCTCTTCTACTGTGGGGTTAGAAGGAAGCTATGGGAGCAAAGATAGAGAAGTTGATTGTCCTGGACATTGAAGAAATGTATTATTCCAAGTTTTCTATTTTCTCAGGGAAGTGAAGAGTGAGTGGTTTGCTAAGAGTGGGGGAAGAGAGTGTGAGTGGGGAGGGGCAGGTGGGAAGTTGGCAGAGAATAGAGTCTGGAGAGCCAGAGTGGACATCAGGACACTCAACATGACTGTCAGGCAACACCAGGACACCAGGAACTAGAGAGGATAGAGCAGCATGTGCTGGCAGTGGTGTCTCCAGCAGTGCTCTCAGCCCAGGCAGGACAGTAGGAAGGGCAGCGGGGCCCCTGGAAGATATGGGCTGAAGAACTGGACCAGCGACCTAGGCTGGATGGAGGAGGAAAAGGAGGAAGACTCAACAGAGAGGGTGCAGGGACATTATAGGTGAAGGTAGCTGAGTGGCCTGAGGCTGGCACCGACTACATAGGTACAGGGGAGGGACCTGGGCCTCTTGTTCATGGCTGTGTCCCAGCACCTATAGCAGTGCCCCATCATCCACAATGTGTCTGGATGCCTTGACTACTTTATACTACCTCTCAAATGAACAAATTAGTGCATTTCAGGCATGGCCCAAGGCAGGGCTTCTAGGATGACAGGAACACCACTTGGAGACAGTAGCAGAAGACACTGAACAGCAGCATGAACTGTCAGGGCAGAGGAAGGTTCAGTTACATTCAAAATCTGCACATGGAGGTGCTATCAATGCCTGATGGGAGTATGTGCTGTTTTTATAGGACTTGCAAGTTTCAATAGAGCTATGAAAGTTGCAATAGAGGTATGCAAGTTGCAGTAGAGAGGAAAATGCTTCAGTGAAAGAAGCCATGTGATATGGTTTGGCTGTGTCCACCCAAATCTCATTTTGAATTCTAGTTCCCATAACCCCCATGTGTTATGGGGGGAACCTGGTGGAAGATAATTGAATCATGGGGGAGGTTACCCCCATGCTGCTATTCTCATAATAGTGAATGAGTTCTCATGGTTTTATAAGGAGCTTTTCCCCCTTTTGCTCAGCACTTTTTGCTGCCGTCATGTGAAGAAGGACGTGTTTGCTTCCCCTTCCACCATGGCTGTAAGTTTCCTGAGGCCTCCCTAGCCATGCAGAACTGTGAGTCAATTAAACCTGTTTTCTTTATATATTACCCAGTATTGGTTATATCTTTATTAGCAGCATAAGAATCGACTAATATAGTAAATTGGTACTCCAGAGAATGGGGTGCTGCTATAAGGATACCCAAAAATGTGGAAGCAACTTTGGAACTAGGTAACAAGCAGAGATTGAAACAGTTTGGAGGGCTCAAAAGACAGGAAAACATGGAAAAGTTTGGAACTTCCTAGAGACTTGGAGGGCTCAGAAGACAGGAAGATGTGGGAAAGTTTGGAAGTTCCTAGAGACTTATTGAACTACTTTGACCAAAATGCTGATAGTGGACAATGAAATCCAGACTGAGGTGGTCTCAGTTCCAAGCCTTGGCAGCTTTCACGTGGTGTTGGTCCTGTGGGTTGGCAGAGGACAAGAATTGAGGTTCAGGATCCTCCACCTAGATTTCAAAGGATGTATGAAAACACACGGATGTCCAGGCAGATGTGTACTGGGGGGCACAGCCCTCATGGAGAACCTCTGCTAGGGCAGTGCAGAAGGGAAATGTGGGGTCAGAGCCCTCACACAGAGTCCCTACTAGGGTACTTCCTAGTGGAGCTGTGATAAGAGGGCCACTGTCCTCCAGAACCCAGAATGGATAGGTCCACTGACAGCTTGCACCGTGTGCCTAGAAACGCCACACACTCAACACCAGCCATGAAGGTAGCTGTAAGGGGGATTGTACCCTGCACAGCCACAAGAGCAGAGCTGTCCAAGGCTGTGGGAGCCCATCTCTTGCATCAGTGTGACCTAGATGTGGCTTGTAGCACATTTATTTTGGCCAATTTTTCCCATTTGGCATGGCTGTATTTACCCAATGCCTGTATCCCCATTGTATCTAGGAAGTAACTAAATTATTTTCGGTTTTACAGGCTCATAGGTTGAAGGGACTTGCCTTGTCTCAGATGAGACTTTGGACTTGGACTTTTTAGTTAATGCTGGAATAAGTTAAGAATTTGGGGGACTGTTGGGAGGGCATGATTGTGTTTTGAGATGGGAGGACATAAGATTTGGGAGGGGACAGGGTGGAATGATATGATTTGGCTGTGTTTCTACCCAAACCCATCTTGAATTGTAGTTCTTATAATCCCCATGTGTCGTGGGGGGACCTGGTGGGAGGTAATTGAGTCATGGGGGTGGTTACCCCATGCTGCTGTTCTCATGATAGTGAGTGAGCTCTCATGGAATCTCATGGTTTTCTTTTCCCCCTTTTGTTCAGTACTTCTCCTTGCTGCCACTATGTGAAGAAGGAAGTGTTTGCCTCCCCTTCCACCATGCTTGTAAGTTTCCTGAGGCCTCCCCAACTGTTCTGAACTGTGAGTCAATTAAACCTCTTTCCTTTATAAATTACCCAGTCTCAGGTATGTCTTTATTAGCAGCATGAGAACAGACTAATACACCATGTCAGTGAGTAGTAGCTGAATTTTAAAGAAGTGAAGTTCTGATGACTTTCTTTGAAGAAAGCCATATTTTTCGTTCAAGTGTAAGGTTAGCCATCATCATCACAATGAAAAAATCACTAGCTAATACAAGTCTCCTTCTAGACCAGTGATCCTCAAAGTGTGGTCCTAAGACCTGGGACAACAACAACATCTGGGAACTGCAAGTGTTAGAAATGCAAATTTTCAGGCCCTACCCCAGACCCACTCGATCAGAAACTCCAGTGAGGCCCAGCAGTCTGGTTCCACAAGCCCTTTAGGTGATTCTGAGATCTAAAATCTAACAGCCCTCAAGTCAGGTGGATTGGGACAGGACATTGGTTTAGGGTGAGGCAGACCTTGCAGGTAAACCATTTTTCATGATGTCTTAACTTGGGCGAGTCACAAAACTGCTCCCAGCCTCAATTCCATCCTTCAAAATAGGGGAAAATAATGACTTACCTCACGAGGCTATTTCTGATGCTGAAGACAGTTTAACATTTAAAATGCCTGGAATGTATCTAGCTATTATGTCTTGTGACTAGAAATTTTCAGTAATCAAAATAACCCCAAAGAATACATTATCTCACACAGATTTAAAAACCTTAATGGTTCATGAATCAAGTAAGTGTATTTTGCTACATAGTAAAAAAATCATTGATTTTACTATGTAAATACACTTACTATGTACGTGTATTTTTTTACGTAATAAAAAGTCATTATATTGATATAAAACAATATAAACTTGATAAGGTAAAAGATAATGTGTACACTTTAACAGAGCATAGCTATTAAAAGCTATAAATCAGATTACAACCTAAATGAAGACATTGCCTTTTCAATTATTCATATGGAGGAAGGTAATTGTAGGTTTTGCATACCATTTCAGCCTAATTTATCATCTGATCCTGCTCTGAGCAATGGAGTCTTTTTGTTACAACAGTTTCCTAACTGGGGAATTCCCTCTGGTGCCAGAGGCTTGATTCTTCTCTAAACAGCCCCCTCTTTTCAGAGAGTCTTTTCCTTCACGTGGACAACTAGGTAACAATTTTGCTTAAGAGATGATCAATAGGTACTTTTACTAACTATAGGTCTTGACAACCTCCCTCTATTGTGCCTTACGGAAAAAACGATTTAGTGCCTGTTCCTTTACTGAAAACCCAATTCAACTTGTATACTTTAATTTCTGCATCTTTGACTTGTTCCTCAGAAATCCCATCAAGTTGAACAGCATGACTGTAGTTATTGTCAACACTGCACCCATCCACTCATCTGTGTCAAATGTGGTGCCACCACGAAGGCTGCTTCACACCTCCTGGTTCTGCATTTGGCAAAATAATATCTGAATTAGTTAAGAAGAAAGTATAAGCAGCAGTAACTAAAAGTCTCACCTTTAGGGCTCCTATGCAGCCAGTCTTTACCTTCCAACAACTCATCTACCACATGGAGTGCACAAATACGGTTGAAATCATACAGTCTGCACAAATGTATAACCCAGCCTTCTTCTTCCTTAATATACCATCAACATTTCTGTGTCATTTTATAAGCATGGTTTCCTCATCCCTGCAGTAACTATTTCAAATGACTACACCACACTTATTTAACCATATTCCCCCTCTATTACATATGCAAATAATTCACAGCTTTTCCTCATCATACATTTTATGAATCAATTTTCTACTTGTGGGTCACTTAGGGTGACCAATTGTCCCCGTTTATCTAGGACTCTCCTGGTTTTAACACTGAAAGTTCATGTCCCAGGAAACCCCTTCACTCCCAGCAAGTGGGGAGAGCTGGTCAGCCTGGGAAAGCCCCAGATGCAAGCAGAAGAAAGTGGGGCCAACATGCTGATCAGGGTCATCAAGGAAAACCCCCCACAGACAAAGGCGGGTTTGAAGGCAGCCACTGTGCTGGGGTCAGGGAATGTCTAAGTAAGGTTTACGGAGCTGCCTCTTCAGGCGGACAAAAGATGGTGGCAGCGGATGCAAGACATGCAGGCGCTTGGAAACAGAGAAGCAGCATTCTGCAGAGTGTGCCCTGGGAGGCTCAGGGACAGGGTCTGTGCTCTGTCCACTGTGGGGAGTGGGCAAGGATGGTGGTGGCTTGCTGGGACTCACCCCAGACCACAGGAAAACCCCAACCCGGCCCCATCCAGCATTCAGAGCCAGCTGCAGGTGAATCTGAGCTGGGCACACGTCTGCCAGGGGTGACAACCGGAGCCTGAGGCTTCACCCCGGAGGGCCCTGCTCTTGTGAGCAGGCTGCCTGCACCTGGGAGAAGCTCTAGCCCCCAAAGAGGGGCACGGGGCCGGAGTCAGAGCTTCCTGCCTCATAGGTGTGCCGGTCACGTAGGACACACGAGGCCTTCGCGATGGGATCTTCCTAGAAAAGGGGTCACGACAGAAGCCAGACTAGGCCCAGCAGGGGCGGGCTGCAACCTCTGCTCCGCTTCCAGGTCACTTCCCTCACCTGAAACTCCCATCTTGCTCTTCCAGCCTTGGCTCATCCCAGCTCCTGCTGGACACATCGCCCCCTTCCAGCCTCTTCTCGGA